CCGCCGGTTGTTGCATTTTTTGCTAGGAAACACCGCAAATACCCATGCGAAAAGAAACTCAAGTTCAATTTCGGGCGAGCAAAGTGCCAAAAGTCGAGTTTCAGCACATGCCAGCCAAGAAATCGACACACCCCGCGCGGCGGCAGACGCACGTGCTGCCAACAACAACAACAACAAAATGATGATCAATGATGATAACGTTCAGGGGTTGAAGCTTAAATGTACGGCCTCTAAGGGTTGCATGTAGAGTCACACATTCCAGGCACGCGACAGCTGAAGACCAACCTGAGGCCAACACACCTATAAAGCTTGCCGCCTCCAAACAGTTCCGGCTTGGATCCTGTCACCTTGCACTGGCTTCAGCCTACAATATCTACAGGCATAGAACTCGTGTGTGTGTGTGTGTGCCTGCCATGTTGTGCTTCGTGCTTTATGGCTGGGACATTTAGCGAACCCAACTTCTCTCGTGATCCGTGATCCCCAAAATCCCTTAATCCTAACTCCCTTCAGGGAGGGCCTTAAAACCCTGGAAGTTCCCAAAGAAATTTGAGCGCTCAAGGCCCAACAAGAAACTTAAGTCCACGTAAAGATGCTAAGATGCTCGAAGTCCAGCAGGCTGGAGCCTTGTTTCTGAAAAGCAAACTGTCAAGTCCTTTCGGCCCCGTAAAACTCAGAGGAGGCAGTTGGGAAAGCTGAAAGCCCTCGAAGCCTAGACGTCAGGATCTGGGGGAGCATCACGAGGACATTGCTTCCGTTCTCATGGAGTTGGGTGTTCCCCTGAACCTGGTCCCAGCACCCTGGTCTGCTTTAGGGCTGAAGGTGGGGTGGGCAGCTAAACAGTTAAACTGCTAAAAGATTGGGATCGAGGGTCCGGGGTCCGGGATTATGCAGCTGTGCATCCCTGCTTTGTTATGACAGGTGCATCGCTGCACCCCTGGTCCAAAGACTGCAAGGGAAACACTTGCCTCAAACCCTAAGCCCTAAGCATGGTTACACCTAAATGAACTTACGTTCCCTTCAACCCCCGGGGGTTTCTTGATAGTTGGAGGTTTGGGTTGGTTGGGGATTGGACATTGATTTGAGGCCTCAGGTCGTCAGCTTGGTTCCTGCTTACTTAAAATAAAGAGAAGACTAAACCTCAAACTTCAGCCTGAACCCTGAAGCCCTCATCCCTCCCTGAGCCCCTCAACCTCCACATCCCCAAACTCCGAAACCCCGCTGACAACCAAAGCCGAGCAACTCCGAGCAGTAAGGTCTCGGACGGCTTCCAGCCTACAGTCCACGCCGATGCAGCGACGTGTCCCGGCTCTCGGTATCTGGGGTTGGGTTTAGTTTACGCTGCGGTATTTAAAGCTTGAGGGCTTAATGACCTAGTGGGTCTTGGGGCTGGATTGAGGGTTCGGGATGTTAAATTAATCGGGTTGCTCATAGCGGCTGCAGAATGAGACTCCACCACCGCTGGCTTTACCCATGCTGCTGATCTAAGGCCATCCAAGGAATCCAAGGGTTCGGAAAGTCGCGATTTGGCATGAAAAATCGAACTTGGGCAAACGGGCCTAAACCCGAAACGATGAATTCTTAACATACCCTACCGTCACTTGGAGTGGAATCGGGGGGGTCAGTCACTTCGAGGAGTCTGTTGCAGCGAGGGTCAGCCATTCTCGCGAAGGGTTCAGGGTGGGGCTCGAGGTTCCGTTGATGCGTGAACTCAAGATGGGAGCTTGGGCTTGAGGGTCACTCCTGAAAGCCAGATCTCAGTCTAAACTGAGCTCCTCTTCTGAAGTTCCTCTTTCTGCGCAAGGCGACAATCGAAGTTGGGTTTCGTGCAGGGGTTCGGGGATTTTCGCTATGGGGTTCTAGGACTGCCCAGGCCCCAGCACACATTGCGCTTTCGTGAAAAGTGCTATTGCCGGAACAGCGCATCAAATCTCGAAGGGTGTCGATTGCTTTGCTGTTCTGTTCCATTCACGTTGCCAGGATTTGAAACCCTCTACACTTCATCAGCGTCATACTGAATGTTCAAGGTTTCCTTTTCGTGCTTCTGCTGGAAGACTTAGTCTCGCCGCCCATTACTTAAGAAGACGAAGAGGAAAAGTTACGTCTAGTCCAGCCCTTGCTGTGCATGTTTCACGCGGTCACAAGCATAGAGCAGACGGGCTCTCCGACTGCCCGAAGCTGTCCGAAGAGCTCTACAGCCCAAGACTCGAAGAAAGGTGTTCTCTCATCCGTGAGCTTCGGGACAAAGAAGACCAGCTCATCCGAGAGAGACTTGGACTGTCGATACTGGCGTTGGGTTCAGCTTCAGGGGATTCGGGGTTGAGAATGCTTTGGTTTCGGTGCAAGGGTTTCGGTGCAGCGCAAAAGGTGCTCCGATACCATTATCCATGACACAACTCCAGAATGATACGAAGCCCCAGCTCTCACGACTCTCTCTGGGGATTCCTCATAAGCAGCCTAAAACCTACACCCGAGGAGCAAGTTTGGGGAGGCTCAGAAAGTTGCCCAGCACGTGCAGCAGCTTGATGCGACTCGACCGGATGGGCGTTCCGCGACAGTTAGGACAGTTCGAAGTGTTGTAAGTTTTGTTCAGGAAATCTGCATGTCTTGCATGGGCGTTATAAGAGGTTGTGTAGGGCTCCCATATCGGAGCCTGAATGATACATGATACTGTAAGTAAGATTATCGCTTATAATGTTCACGAATACATTCATGGATAATACTCGCAATCCCAAGTTTTCCGCCCTTTGGATTACGGACCGTCTCTCAGGCCTTGTGTGCATTTGAAGTGTTCATGATGGGGGCCCTCTGAGTGGAGCTTCGAAGTCAGACAAGCTCACTGCAGCACTACCTCCAAGCATGTTACGAATGCCTTACGTGCCCGTGACCACATGCAACGCAAGCGATGCTTGTCAATGTAGAGGTTCATCGCGACAGCAAGCAAACAGAATAATCCACGAACGAAGCCTTACCTTGCAAATAGCACAGAGGAACGGTTCATTCATAGGAACAGCGATCGCGACGGCACAGGCAATGGCCGGAGCAATGGCTGCAGAAGTTGCAGTGGCTGAGTTTATAACCATAGGGGCATCGTGAAAAAAGCGATTGCCGGAGTACCTGCTATTTCCCCCCATATAAATGCTAAACCCGAAAAGAGCACGAAGGCGATTGGGCAGGAGCTGCAAAGCTTGCTGGAGAAGCGGGAGATGCTTTCCGCCACTCGAGATCTGAGAGCTCTGGAGCCTCTTCAGCATCAGCATTTAAGGGGTGTTCCAGGGTCTGGACTTGTATGGTCTATGGCTTTAAACTTAGAGTCTGATCACAGGTACAGGTTTCGGGTTTGGGGGCCCAAAACCGAAAGCCTGGCCAAAGCTAAATTAGCTAAATTGCTGACCACGAGTGAATGCCAAGAGCTTCAGGCTTGCCAAGGTTGAGGGTCGTCGATCTGGGACTCTGCTAGACGATGGTTTCTGGGTCTCATAGGGCGAGGTTTTTACATTCGGAGGTCGGGGGGGCGGCTAGGGTTCAGGGGGTGATGGAGCAAAGTCTGAAAGAGAAAGCTTTGTTCTCGCGCTTTTGATGCTGCTTTTCTGGCACAGACTCGAAGGTCTGTACCAGGCGCAAGCCGAGTCTGCGCCCTAAGACCCTGAGCCCTAAAACTTTGAAGCTGAAACTCTGCACGCCGGCTGAGGAGCAATTGGCACCGGAAATCGCTGCCCTGGAGACAAAGCGGCTCCACACGGCAGCACTCTACGAGCTTCTCGGATGCCAAGAGTTAACGCCTACCGGCCCTGAATTCTGGCGATGTTGCCTGCTTCTATGTTATGTGTCGCCCAATCGCTGGCGGATATGTAGGAAGGGAGACATACGACGTCATAGTCTGCGAAGACCCTCACACATCAACACTCGGAGCCATCAATGTCTGAGTTCAGTTGAAGAGTACACAAGGCTTGTGGCTTCGGAGTAGGCACAGGCCCGATTCATGGCCTTGGGTCAAAGAGTCATAGACCCTGAGCAACCGAAGTCGCTTCGCGCCATCGCCAGGACCGATTGGTGGATTTCTGCCATGTCGGCAGGTTTCGGGCAGGCTCGGCTCGGCTGGGGTCATTAATGCTGGTAATGTAGTCTTCACGTGTAGTGCTGAGGTTTGGCAGTTCCCCAAACCCTATGCAATAGTTTATTATGGGATGTCGTCCGAGAAAGCTTGCCTTACTTGTGATTTGATTTTCCTTGCAAACGGTAAACTATGGTCCCCTACCAGAGCATGTCTTAAGCGGTTTCCGTGAAGCTTCCGTAACACTAATACAAATCCTGCTTGAAACTACTGGAGCACGTGTGAAAAGCTCAGTTGAATCTAGAGCATGAGCATATCCAGCTACAGTAATCCCGATACCTGCCAAAACGACTCCAAAAAGACACCTAAGCGCCAGCGAGGACAGTCTGGCCGTACCCGTGCAGAGTGCGTTGACGCCACGAAGCCTTGAGCGATTCGGCTATGTTAGAGCTTCCAGGCTTAGTTCCGATGTTCCGGGCCTGTAAACCCGCTGTTACCTTGCAGCTTTCGAGATTGTTGGAAGTATGTGGCAAAAAGAATTGGATTCTTACCCTGACAGAGACGCTCGGGATTCCCGCTTCATGCTTCCATGATTCTAGAGTTGACCCCAGCACCCATTGGATCAAAAGCCATATTATCACAAAATCTGCGGAAGCCCAAGCTTTCTCCCCCCCAGAGAAACTCTTGATTTAATTACGAGGGCAGGAGAGAGAGCGCTTGTCACAGCTTTTCAAGACGTCTCCACTGTGGGTGGTTCGCTGCTCCAAAAAAGAAGCTGCCAAGAGTCCCAAACCTAGTTGCATCTCGAAACCCCAAATGCCTTGCCTAGAGCCTGCACAAGATCCTGTCTAAGCCAGTCCCCGAGTGAACCGCATCCCAAGCAGCCCCAGTCCTTGAAGGCTCTCTGCATCAGCCATCTCCACTCCGGTAGCACGCAGTGCCGACCGCGGCTGGGGCCTAAGGTCAGAACGGCCCAGGTGCTGTGTCCTGCGACTGCTGTATAGTTCCAGGACTTCGGGTGTTGATTTTGCAGTCAGTCAACTGTTCTGGTATGTTCTGGTGTGATTGCGCGAAAGGCAGGTCTCTTGAAGACATCACATGGAAGGCAGTTACTTCGGCTTGCAGGAGCTTGCTTACTTGGTACCCTGAACTTTTGCTCTGATCCTGTCTGCCTGCCGACGAGACTATGAACTGCCCACGAGCGTTCGTAACTGCTGAACATGCGTGCCCCAAGGTCGTTAAGATCATGGTGGCGGGAGAACTGCTGGAAGGGAGCATGTAATTTCTTTGTATTTGTTTCGAAAACAGGTTATGCAAAGGAAGAGCCAAAGATTAAGCACTAGTGCTGCGAGGAAGGTTCATGCATATCTCAACACCTTCCGTTGAGCTCCGATAAACGCAGAGCCCTACCTCCAGTCCACCGTGGCGTCTTCTAAACCAACCTCGGATTCCTTGCACCCCCAGACTTTAAAATCCTAAGACAGAGCCACAAGCCCAAATCCCCGACAAACAGTAAAGCCCTCAAGCCTACGTGCCCAAGGTCCTAAACCTCACACCCCAAAAAAAACATAAGCATAAACCCCTAAACTCCTAAACCCCAAGCCCCTAAATTCCGAAAACCCTAAACACCTAAACCCACAAGACCAACAACCCCAAACTCAGTAACGAGGATCCCGTCTGGAGGATCACCCGCAGAGCGAAGCTTCGCAGGCAGGGCTATTGTCGGTCCTGAGGCCCGAAGCCCGAAGCAGGTGGGTTTTATTGTTCAGGGCTTTCGGTGGAAAGTTTTGGGCTTTTCGGGAAATGTGGACCCGATGCAGAGGTTATGGACTGAGCTTGAAGGTTTAGGATTTATCGTGCAGGGTTGTGAAAAGCGCTATCAACGCGATTCCCACTATCATCCTTGTTGCCAGACTTTTTCCTTCGAGGGTTTGGGGCTGGGCTTAGGGCTTATGGCCTACTGCAGAGGCAAAGCATAGAGACAGCGGCGACTGTATTCAAGAGGACACACTCATACAAACTGCTTTCCAAGCAGCGGGGGAGCCATGCCAACGAGACCGAGAGATGGTGACAGAAGCCTCTGAACACCAAACCCTATCTACACCGTGTATAATCCAAGAAACCACAATCCTCCTACCGCAGAGGCTGCCGTGGATCCGGCTCCAAGTGAGGAGCCTCCAACGACGGGCGGCTGAGCGATCGTAAAAGCAAGAGCAGGGGTGAAGGAGAGAAATAACGCCGCAAGTATGATTCCAGCCTCTTCTCAGAGTTGGTGTAGGATTTGGAGGCTCAAGTCGAGGGAGGCCCCGGGTTGCGCGTTGTTCAAGAAAATCTGAGATTCCCTAAAGGTCTTTTCCCCAAGGGTCCCGGTGTAGATCCCCTGCCAAAACACATCTATAAGTCAGTCCATCTAGAGTCAATCTATCCATTTATCGAATGTACCAATCTATTTACCTATCTATTTATCCAGCGATCTATCTATCTGTCTATGTATTATCCATCGATACATCGATCTACCAAGTGATCTATATCTATCGATCTATCGATCTCTCTATCTATCACTCGATCTATCTATCTATCCATCTATCTATCTACCTATCTATCTACCTATCTGTTTATCTATCGATCGATCTATCGATCCCTGTATCTATCATTCCGTCTACCTATGTATCCATGTATCTATCTGCCAACCTATTTATCCATTTATCCATCTATCTCATTTGTCTGTGATGTGATGTGATGTGATGTGATGCGGCTTGCAGCTGTAGCTGCAGCCGCCCGCACTTTTCCCCCCCCACATCGCACGGCGGCTCCGAAAACGTCATGGCCGCCCTCCGTGGAAGGTTCGAGAGGGGGAATTAGAATAATGCAGGCCAAGATGCAGGGAGAGGGGGAAAGAGAGGGGGGAGGGGAGGGAAGGGAGGGGAGGGGCGAGGGGGCAGGAGGGAGGGAGGGGAGAAGAGAGAGAAGAAGAGAACCCTGGCAAGTGCAGCAGTTTTTCCCTGACGGCCCCGCCAGAAGTCGGACGAGTACAGACTCACGCCAGTCACAGGCAGTGTCGGGCGCCAGGTGCGCCAAGGCGTCGCTGAGCTCTGTCAAATGGGCCCGGCCGTTTTGTTGCAGATAGGCCAGGAGCCAGCGGCACACCCTGCGGAGAGGAAGACGGCCCACTGCAGGCAAGCTAGAGCCGGCGCCGGGGAGGCACGAAAGTGGCACGAAGCTACACAGGAACGAAGGTACACCACAAGGGAAGAATCTTCAGGAGGCAAAGGGATTTCATAAGATATGGGGAATTTTTGATTTTTCTATAATAAATTCTTTCTTACATAATTTATAATTCATAGAAGCATTAAATATATATATTATGATTTTATTTCATATCGAATTATATTATATATATTTTTGGATGCAAAATTTTTACGAAGAAATTTGTCTTTTCGATTATCTAAATATGAATTAATTGACTTTGATTT